CCAGGCTGGAATGTCCCATGCTAGCAGCTAACAGCTAGCCGCTGACTACTGCTGCTGTTGGAGGAAAGATTTCCCAACTGTGTAGGCAATGGCTGTGGACTGCTGCTGATGGGTCAGCAGCTCCATTTCCATGGATTTGCTGCAAATTCTCCATGCCGCTCAAGATTCTCTTGACTTGTTTTTTTCTACTTTATGCTCCATAAACATTAGATTTAACTTCTCAATTTGTAGCTGTCTGAATCAGTGTGTCTGAAATCTTTCGTTGAAATTTTGTCTACAATTGCTGTGAATACATAGATCAGTTTTTGGATAATTGGTGCCCTGATTATGTTATTTCTTTCAGTTCACAAACATGCTATGCATATGTATAATATTAAATAGAATACATTTTGATTTCCTTGAATTCCTTCATTCCAACAAATCCTAGGTGCATAAGGCTGGGTTTTTGTTTTTGTTGTTGTTTTTTAAGACAAGGTTTCTCTGTATAGCCTGTTCTGTAGACCACTCACAGAGATCTACCTGCCTCTCCCTCTCCAGTGCTGGGATTAAAGGTGTGCACTGCCGCCGCCGCCGCTGCCGCCGCCGCCGCCGCCGCCGCCGCCACCACCACCACCAGGCTATAAGGCTGTTATTTATCCTTCAAAATTCTTCTTCAATTTGAGACACTGGAACACTCAGTCCTAAGTGGGATGTCTTCATCAAACCCCTCTCCCCAGGGATCTCTTCGGAAGAGTAGAAAGATTGTAAGAACCAGAGGGGATGGATAACACCAAGGAAGCAAGGCGGGACGGACACACATATGTAACCCACAGAGACTGTGGCAGCATGTACAGGGCCCCTCAGGTCCAAGTCAGATGGAGTCCTAGTGCTGGGAGGGGAAAGGAGACACAACCCTAATCAAGACGTTATCTCCAATTGAAGAAAACTCATAAAGGAAAAAATAATCGTCTCCAGTGGATTCTCACCAGGTATACACACTTAAGGGCAGACCCCATACTCAACAGTAGACAGTCAACTCAACATGAACTCTGATGGCTGCGACCCACGCAGCTGGAGCACGAAATCTGGCAAGGGACGCCGAGGTTAAACAGCACTCTAGACACCCAGTTTCAGTTGGTCAGGGAAGCAGCTCTCTTTATTAGTACCAACATGGGCTTATATACCCCTCTAACAGCAGGAGTCAAGGAATGGTTACTCTGCATCCATAGGCCAGCCGGACACTGTTTTCCAAACAGGAAAAACCACAGGGGAACTGATCCCCAGAACTTTCTGGAACCCAACTGCACATTTTTCACACAAACAACTTAACTGGGACAGGACAAAAAAGGGCATTTAAAATTAAGGCAGTAAACTTACTGCTGCCGACATCTGATATTTTTGGAGATTTTTTTTTTTTTTGGTCTTATATTGCTTTGCTTGGGCATTTTTAACTTTAATGGTCTTTTCCTTGTATATTATGATTCTAATCTTGTGTTTTTATGATTTGTGTGTGTGTATGTTTCTCATACCTTTTTTTTTTTTTTTTTTGAAATTCCCGTTTGTTTGTTTTATTTGCCTGCTTGTTTTCTAAAGAGAAAGAGAAAGAAGGCATGGAATTGGATGGGTCGGGAGGCAGAGAGGATCTGGAGGAGATGAGGGAGGGGAAATTATGAT